TCCCATCAAAGAAATGCCAGATCATTTCAGACACTCCATTTTCTATTCAAATTATGTATAATATACAATTGTATCCATTCACCTCAAGACATCAATGAGTGTACAGAAATACTATCATCTCATAGTACACATCATCTACATTGTAGGGCCAGGGTTGTGTCAAACATAATCTGGACTCTCCATATTTGCTGATGCTCTGTGGTGAGTGTTTAAGGTGATGGCTTTAGACTGTTTATACACTATATACAGAATCCAGACCCCCTTTTGAATTCCAGACTAAACGGATCATCTCTGTGAGCAAACAAAGGTTCTTCGATCTTTCTGTATGAATTGTAAACACAGTCTTGTTATCTTTAGCATCACGGTTGCCCCATGTAGATGTGTCCTGTACAGATAAAGTGTCCATCTCCCCACAGAGCACGGCAAACAGGACAACTGACCAGCGTGAGAAAATCGAGCTCATGGTGTTTAGTACACTAACTATGCACATAAGGCACTTAACATTTTCCAGAAACCCATTTATTATTGAATGGGTGAAGACTCTTTGAAACACACACAGCTCTAGAATAAATAAAAGCTTAGAGAGGAGAGTGAATTCAGCAAATTAAGCTGCCAGGGCACTGGATGTTTAGAGTTATGATAAGCACATCTTTTCTTTCACTTATGAGGTGTTACAGACAGCTAAGGTGTTGCAATGCATTGTTATAAGAGTACCTACAAATCAAGCTCAGTAAAAAGGTCATTATTTTAGCTATTCCAGAAGAAATCAGTTCAATCACATGCAGGGCCATATATCAGTACATAGCATAACACAGAATTGTATAGGGTACTTCACTCTTTTAAAAGGTACCTCCTTTCTGTTGACATTGGAATGAATACGTTTAACGAGGAAGACAGGATCTGGTTGTCTGAGAAACCCAATTGTTGTCATTAAGAATGCCATTGCTTGTATTTCTTATGTCGCACAAATAAACCAAGAAGGGAGCTAGTAAAACTGTACTCTGTCCTTGAAAGAGTACAAAGCAGTGTGTGTTAAATATATCAATAGTGCTTCAGGACGCCTGCCAACCTTGTTTGCCTTTAGATCAACAGGGCCTGCAAAGGAATAGGAAACACTTGCCAGGCAGACGTGAGCAAAACTCCTGCCAACACAGATGCCAGTGTGACTTTCTGACTTCCTTTAAAGGCCTGTATCTTGGCAACATGTCATCTGGAAACCAAAGAGCAAGCAGAAAAGCCCCATTGGAGTACCAGAAGTTTTCACACGTTCTCCTGATGCATGTCTCCAATTGGTCGGCCTTTCTGACCACAGGCAAAAATGTTTTGTTTTGCAAATTGACCTAGCCAGCGCTGGAAATGTGTTTCGAAGTCAGACGTCTGAGCCTTTAGATAGGACAAGAAAACAGTTTCCACAGCTAGTACATTTAGATTTGTGTGAGTACAAAGCAAGTAATTGATTAATTTCAATGCCTCAGTGTACAAAAACTGCACAGATGCCAAATAATTTTGAAACGCACCCATGATGATCTGTATCTTTTTCATTTGTATACAGCTATTTGTATAAAACGTTTGCTACCCAGTGCTGGGCCTCCTGTGTCCTCTTCTCAACTCAGACAGATGTTTAAGTTTTAGTTTTGTTGAAATGTGTCCGCTGCTCTAAGGAATAGTGTTCAATTGTGGAGAGACAGTCACATGATAAATAAATTAGCAAACAAATAGAGGGAAACTATTCCCAGCAATGTGAAAGCTATTTATTTTCTTTTCAGTGCTGACAATTAACAATACGCCCATGTGGTTCTCTGAATGACATCATAATACTGAAGAATGTGTTCATTGTCCACCTTTAATTTAACTTCTTCCCAGTTCTCCTAACACTGAAAAAAATTCAAAGCCCTATTCACTGCTGTGCCAGGTCTTTACAGATCATTCCAAATCACAGCTTCTTAGTCTTGGTCCTGGGTGATGACTGTCTGCAGGTTTTTGTTCCAACTTGGCCTTTAATCACTGGTTCTCATTGCTAAGTGACCTGTTTGCTTGTTTAGACTGTTCTTTTTCTGCACTCAGTTCTTGTTTTCAAAATTATGATGGCTGAAGTATATTATTTACAACAACTTCAGCTTATAGACTCTCATGCAGTCTCTCCTCAAACTGCTAATTAGGAATGTGCTCTCTTATTTCTAATGAAGAGTTCATATCTGACAAACACGGGTGGGAATGACAATGTATCAGACACTCTCACAAGGGCTGATTTTTCTCCTTTTGCTTTAGTCCATCGGGTTACATTGCAGCTGACACACCTGCTTGCAGGAGCTTGGAAACTCAGGAATTGGCACAAGGTTGATACCAACTACATTTTAAAGAGCTGAAAGAAAAATTAAACACACCTCTAAAAAAGAAGATAGAAACCCATGTCTGGAGTAAAAACCAGAAGACGCAGTTTTCCCTCACTTGAGATTGAGAACCACCAGTCCAAGGCCTGGCCTAATAATGATCTCTAATTTCAGGCTTCTGTCGTGATCCAAGTAAATATATATAATTAAAGGAGATAAGGGATTTTATCATAGAGTTTGAGAATTACACAAGGCAAGGCTCTTATTTAAGAACAGACATCCATTATCTTTACGATGATTTCAGTATATCCTATACATCCTGATGATCAGATTGTCTGCTGGTTAGTTGATTCCTGTTTCTGAAAATATGGCATTTTCTAGCTAGCTATGGACTTTGTATAGATAAAAGACAATAGTAAAGCTCAGACGTCACAAGACCCTGGGGCCATGAGGCCTGCAATGCTCAGAAGCCGATGCTTGAACGTTTTCATTGAAATAAATGAAAAACAACAATTAATTAAAAGATACGAATTTTAATTTTTGCTTTATTATGTTTTGCGATTCAATTACCGCTTGAAATAACGTGACGTGTGCCCTGCCTGAAAACTGAGTGGAAGACCCAAAACATGGTTCTGTGCAGCACGATGACACGAGAGAACCCAAAGACACCAGCGGGAAAATGAGAATAAACTAGCTCCAACCACGTTTTTTTCCTTGCCAGCCCGTGGGACCCTCTGTCTTCAGTGTGTTTTATTCCAGCTGTGCTCTCCACTGCTGAAGTCAGTGATTCATGGAAAAAACAACAGCCTTGAAGTCTTGTTTAAAACATAAGAACGGGAGCCCCTTATCCCTGTACAGTTTGTGCGTATAATGGCCTCCTGACCACAGCTGCTTTCATGAGATACACTACAAAGCTCTTTCCTAAGGATGTAAAAAAGGTCAGAAAAAGATATTCAGGACACTGAATCTTCCTTACAGCTTCAAAAGCAGGAGGAACAAAAAACAGAAACTAGAAAGATTATGGAGGAGCCCATAGGACCAGACAGTGCCTCTAATTTATCATTGTAGCAATGACCTTTACACAGCTGGCTTTGGCAGGTGAAAGCTATGGAGCTGTTTGTCACCCTCTTCATAAGAATCCCTACTGTGTATACAGGTCATAATTTAACTCCACAGCCATTAACCTGCTCCATTCTACAGACTCCTTCCCCTTTTGGGCCAAGAAAAAGAAGACCATTTTTTTTTAGACGAACGCAGTTCCATAAGAAATCCTGTACTTAAAAGCTGTCCTCACATGGCGGCCTGTGCTGCATTACCTCTTGGTTTCGAGAGGTATATATTAAAACAACGGACAGTTAAATTGCACAGCCGATGTAAGGAATTTCTTCCTGGTCGCGCCTCGTAAAGCAAACAATAAAAACGAACCCTAAAGAATGGTATGGACGCCACCGAGCGAAAGGCTATTAGCTACAGTAACTCCATGACATTCCTTTCTGACTCTGGGGAAACTGCCCCTAAATATTTTGTATTAGACTCTTGTCAGGGATTTGGAAAGTGTAGGCTGTAAAAGTTTCTTGTGCACTGGAAATGCTGTACTAGTGTACTGAAACGTTAAAGGTTGTTAATGAACAACCCCACCCCCCAAAAAAATAAGTTCTGAGTGTAATACTGTAGGAGTGTAAGATGCGAGTTAAATTGAAGAAGCACTTTAAATAACTAAATTCACATATAGTACAATGATTATAGGGATATCTGAAGAAAAGCAGAAAATACGGTAGTATTTGCTGTTTTTTCTAAATTGAAGCGTCCCTAAATGACATGATTAATTTGCTTCAATCGACTTTTTTATTATCGTATCAGTTAATTATCATAAAAGTACCTACACAATCAACGGAAATAACTTGGAATGGAAATGGAATTTATTCCAGTGAATAAACCATTCACAATAACCCAAACGTTACATAATGTAAAAAATACAGGGTTTACATATAGACCATTAAAGAAATAATGACGTTATTCGTTTTTGCGCGTTATTTAAATCATTTTCAATTATCCCTCTTCCCAATTTCTTTTACGAAAAAAGTCTAATTAACAAAAATGACCTGACGTAGATTTCTCAACACGTTCAATTTTTACATGCACTCCGCCTATCCGAACCTTAAATATATCCAGTAGTAAGAAGAAGATTTCGAGCGTTTGAATCACCGAAATAGCAACAGCAGTTGTCCTGTGGTTGTCCTGTGGTTGAACCAAACCATACATTTAATGGTGTATATTTAGTTCTAGGTAAATGCACCTATTTTTTATTATCGACTTTAAAGGTATATTAAGACTTTAAGCAGGTTGATTCGGTACTGTAACTCTAATTGCTAAAAAGCTGGCCCAGAAAAAAAACGTGATCAGATTTTTGGCCGTGGATGCACGCATCCTGCGACCACCGTGGAACAACACACGGGTCACGCAGGAATGCCCCCAGGGGTGCGCGAAGAGAGAACCCACTCCTGACGCCTTCGAAGTATTTGCTGTTTCGCTGCATCAGATGAATTGGTGATCCTCTGAGGATTTTTGTAACCGCACAAGAACTTGTATAAATATCTATTTTGCACTGAAAGCAATTTGTCATTTGCTTAATAGTTTCCTACTTTTATGTATGGTTGGGACGGAGCTGCGATGAGTGTTGGTGAGATTTGTAAGAGCTTCGTGGATTGCTCCAGCGAGGCGCTGCGGTGATTCGGGAGCATCAGTGACTTGGAAGCGGTCAGGAAGTCTTCCACTGGAGGTTCTGTTCACAGAGAGGGATCAATGAAGACGGACAAAGTGAAGGACTGCATTTTTAGTGGTAGGGATGCATAATGTATGCTTTCACTGTATGTTTGGCTACTTTACTGACTGCACCACAGTAAGGGGTTTCATGATGAAGAACACCAGCGTGCGCGTTTGTATTGAAATGATGATGATTATTTTTTGGTAGCTAAAATATTTAAGCTAATTGTGATATCCTATTGTGGGGAGCCAACGTAGTATTTTTTAGCAGTGAGAGTTGTTTCCCATTATCAACAGCAATAATATGTTTTCGGAAATAGTCATTGTAGATCCTTTAAACTGTTTCAACTTTTCTTCCTGAAAACCAAAATTGTGATACTCTTAACAGTTTGTTTTCAATGAAATGTCCCTTTTGCATTCCAAACAAACATTTTGTAAAATGTCCTGAGGACATGAAAAACAAGGCAGGTGATTTTCAGGTGCAGTGATTTGCTGAAATTTTATACGTTTTTATATAAAAGCGATCTTTTTTTTGCTGTCGTTTTTTCAGGTTATCTGAGCACACTAAACCCCAGCGATTCATGTACTGTACGTGTGAAGAAGGAAAACGTAAAGTAACCTGTGCTGGACAGAGGGTCCCCCAAGGGTGATATGGAAGAGCCCGAGTTGAGTGAACCTCCTCCCTATTAGTCCCGTTAGAAACCGACAAGTTTTCGTTAAAGAAACTGACAAGTACCATTACACTCCTACGGTTTCAAATCCGTGTCATTTCATTGTAGCGAGCAGAAACTGATGCCTAAACGCAGGTCAGGACTTGATCATTTTAGATGGATGGCAGTCCAAAGAAGTGGTTATTTGTGTTGAGACGATGTTCCTCAATAAATCTCATATTTCAGTTTTTGGAGAGTTGTTGTTTATATAAATAATTAGTGAATATTACTTCTAAAGCTATTATATAGAGCTATCCCGGCACAGATTGTACTACCAAGTCCAATCTAATCGTTTTCACAGGTTTTAGCATTTACATTTATGCTTTTCCTGCCTTTTTCCATGGAATGCTGGAATTAACAAAGAAAATCATACTGCTTTCTTTATTATTACTGCCTAGTCTGTTTCCTGCTTGCTGATGTGGTCCATCTTCTTAATAATACGGCTATTTAAGAATTCAGTTTGCTAGCTGGTTGATTTTCACTCTTTGCTCTTCAGTGCCGCTTGCTTTGTGTAGCCTGTAGTTTAATAGATTGGGATATCTATGCATCATGTCATTTTCATTCAGGGTTGTAAAACAGACATTTCTAGCAATGACCCATCCTTGTAATAATGGCACTTTGTTTCTTTGTTTGTTTAATACAGCATAAAGGAAATTAAGGAAACCAAGAGTAGGAGTTTGAACAAAAGCTTTCAAGTTGTGATAAGACTTTGCCCCCAGGAGCAGAAGAGTCCACTACCTGAAGGTTCAGTATCCTGTGTACTTATTCTTTCCTGGGTAGGAGGAG